ATATTTCAGTTTTGTATGCTATTTTAAATGGAATATTATCTTAATTCTGTTTTTGAATTTCTCATTGCTAGTGTATGTAAATGTATTTTGTCTGATATCCTTCAATCTTGCTGAAATTGTGTATGTTTCCTAATAGTTACTTAAATTTCTTAAGATTTTCTATATAAAAGATCATGTCATTTCCAATAAGAGAGATGATTTTTTTCTTTTTTTCCAACCCAAACATATTTTATCTTATTTTTTCTTCTAATTGTATTGGATAGAATTTATAGTACAATGTACAATAAAAGTGAAGAGAATGGAAATCTTTATCTTGTTCCTGATCTTATTAGGAAAGCAGTCTTTAATAAGACTAATAAGCAGTTTTACTCAGTGTTTTGGATGCTGTTTTATTACATTAATAAAGCTCCCTTCTTTATCTAGTTTGTTGAGTGTTCTATCATAAAAAGAGTACTGGATTTTGCCAAATGATATTGAATGATCAGTGGTTTTTTTTTTTTCTGTTTTCTATTAATATGGTACACTATATTAATTAAGTTTGGTATTTTAAACCAATCTTGAATTTCTATGATAAATCCCACTTGGTTATGATATATAATTCTTTGTATATGTTGCTGAATTTGACTTGCTAGTATATTATTGAGAATTTTTACATCTATGTTCGTAAAATATATTGATCTGTAGTTTATTGCAATGTCTTTATCTGGTTTATTTATCAAGGAAATACTGACCTCATCAAATTAGTAGAGAAGTGTTTCTTCCTCCTTTATGTTTTTGGAATAGTTTGAATAGGATTAGTACAATTTCTGTTTTTTTCTTTCTTTCTTTTTGTAGAGGCGGAGTCTTGTTATGTTGCCCAAGCTAGTCTCAAACTCCTGGTCTCTAGCAATTCTCCTACCTCCTCCTCCCAAAGAATACTATTTCCTTTTAAATGTTTAGCAATATTCACCAATAAAACCATGTGATCCTAGGATTTTCTTTGTGGGAAGTTTAAAAACTACTAATTCATTTTTTTACTTGTTATAGAGCTATTCTTATTTTCCCTTTATTCTGGCACTGGTTTCAGTAATTTGTAATATCTCATTTGTTGACATACAGTTGCTGATAATATTTCCTTGCAATTCTATTTATTTTTGTATGGTTGGCAGTGATGTTCTCTCTTTTGTAGCTGATTTTAATAATTTCAGCCTTCCCACTTTCCTTCATCACTCTAGCCATTAATTTGTTAATTTTGCCAATCTTAAAAGAACCAACTTTTTGTTTTATTGATTTTATCCCTTTTTTATTCTCCATTTCTTCTGTTTCCACTCTAGTGGAAATCCTCTTATTTTTCCAGATATTTAAGGTAAAAAAGTAGGTTATTATTTGATTTTTAATTTTTTTTAAATATAGGACCTTGCAGCTTTAAATTTCCGGCTCAAAAACAGCTTTCTCTCTATACCTTAAGCTTTGGTTTGCTGTGTTTTTATTTTCATTTCTCTCAAAAGTATTTTTTAATGATATATTATTTAATCATTGGTTATTTATGACAATGTTATTTAATTTCCACACATCTGTGAATTACTGAAATTGCCTTGTATTATTAATGTATAATTTAATTTCTGTGTTAAGTGAACATACTTTGTATGATTGAAATATTTTAAAATACATTAAGGCTTGTCTTATAGCCTGGTATACTGTCTGTTTTGGAGATTGTTTTGTTTGTGCATGAAAAAGACAAGTATCCTGTAATTGTTGAGTAAAGTATTCTAAAAATGCTTGTCAGGACTAGGTGGTTTACACAGAGTTTTCTAAATGCATTTTATTTTCTGTCTTGTCTTTCTATCCAATGGTGAAAAATCAAATATTGGAGTTTTCAACTCTTACTGTTGAAGTATCTATTTCTCCCTTCAGTTCTGTCAGCTTTTGCTTCATGTATTGTGGAGCTTTGTTGATAACTCTATTTACAATTGTAATGTTTTCTGGAAGAATCAATCCTTCTATCTTTGTAATGTATTTCTCTTTATCTCTAGAAACATTTTTTGTTTCAAAATAAATTCTGTTTGATATAGTCACTCCAATTCTCTTATGGTTGCAGTTTATATGATATATATTTTTCCACCCTTTACTGCAACTTATGCATATGTTTAAATCTAAAGTATCTTTTGTAGATAGCATATATTTGGGTCCTGATATTTTAATAAGTCTGACAATACCTGTCTTTTAAGTGGATTATCTATTCACAGTTAATTTTATTCTTTATATGGTTGGACTTATCACTGCCATTTTGCTTTCATTTTCATTTTGTCTGATGGATTTTTATTCAACTGTTTCTCTTTCTGTTGCATTAGGTGATACTTTCAATTATAACGTTTTATTTACTTTGTTTCTATTAATAGCTGCATTTTTAAGTTAATTTCTTAGAAGTTTCTCTGTGGTTTATAATGTTCATTTTAACAGGCTGCTTTATCTACTCTTGTTTCAACTTTAATTTTAGGTTCAGGGGATACATGCACAAGTTGGTCATATGGAAAAGTTGTGTGACACTGAGGTATGGAGTATGAATGATTCCATTACTCAGGTAGTGAGCATAGTACCTAATAGATGATATTCCAGTCTCATATTCCCTGCTTCCCTCTCTCCTCTGGTAGACTCCAGCATCTGTTATTCCCACATTTATATCTTTGTGCATTCAATGCTTAGCTCCTAGTTATGTGATAAATACGTGGTATTTGGTTTTCTGCTCATGTGTTAACAAGCTTAGGATAATGACCTCCAGGTGTAGCCACACCACTGCAGATGATGTGCTTTTGCTTTTTTCTATGGTGACATAGTATTCTATGATGTATACATACCAGATTTTCTTTATACAGTCCACTACTGATGCACATCTAAGTTGATACCATGTGTTAGATATTGTAAATGGTGCTGTGATGAACCTACAAGTCAATGTATCTTTTTGGTGGAATGATTTATTTTCTTTTGGGTACATATCCAATAATGGGATTCTTTTGTCAAATTGTAGTTGTTTTAAGTTCTCTAAGAAATATCCAAAATGCTTTCTACAGTAGCTGAAATAATTACATTCCAACCAACACTTTGTCTTTATACTACTTCAATTGGAGAGAGATATAGAAATTTTACTTCTATATAGTTCTTGCCTTTTTGTGCTACTATTTCTATACACATTGCATTTATACACGTTAAAATCCCAAAAGTAAAAAAGAAAATCTAAAAGTATACTATAATTATTACTTTATAGGATCATATGACTCTTAAAGAAGCTGAAATAAGATCAATAATATATTTATAGAGTTTATTATATTAACTTTTTAATTTACCTTTTCTTGTTCATTTCTTCTCTAGATACTTTCTAGTGTCATTTCATTACAATAGTGCTTTGTTCCCACTTGTCTTCTTTGTGTTATTATTTTCAAACATATTGCATTTTTATATATTACAGGCTCCACATTTCATTATATCATTTAAAGGAATTGCTTTTTTTCTTAAAAACAACTAAGGGAAGAAAAGAGAAGTATGCAAATTAATGTGTATTTTATAATTTTCTACATAACAACTTTTCAGTACTTTTTCACATGAATTCAAAGTACTGTCTAGTACTACTTTTTTTCATCCAGCAGAAATTTAATATTTCTTCTAAGATGGGTCTGCTGGAAACAAATTCTCTCAGTTTTTGTTATTTGGGTGTGTATTAAATACATTCATAAAAAATGTCTCTTCCAGTTTATGACTAATATTCCTTCTCTTCTTCCATGTTCAAGTTAGCATATATTTTACAACTACCTTCTGGCCTTCATTGATTCTGATGAAAAATCAGCTCTTCTGTTATTAGGATTTTCTCAGATGTGATAAGTCATTCTTTCTTTCTGCTGCTTTTAAGATTTTTTTCATTTTTGTTGTCCGACATTTTGACTATGACTATATTGGGTGTAGTTGTGAATATCTTTAAGTTTAACCAATTCAGATTGGAGTTTGCTTAATTTCTGACAATATGGTTTAATGTTTATTTTAACCAATTTTGAAATGTTTTAACCATTATGTTTTTTATTTTTTTTCTGCTTATTTCTCTTTCTTCTTTATTTTTGGTATTCTTATTATGCACATGTTGTTATGTTTATGGCCTCTCATAATTCTCTGAGGCTCTTCACATTTTTTCTTAATTTTTAAGGCGATTTTTCATACTGTATGATCTCTATTGATCTATACTCAAATTCAATGATTCTTTCTTCTGCCAGCTGAAGTCTACTTTTGCTCCCTCTAGTAAATTTTTCATTTCACTTGTTAAAGTTTTCAATTTCAGAACGTTTTAATGTTAATTTATTAATGATGCCCTTTCTTTAATAAGACATTATCATTATACCTTTCTATAATTTTTTTTTTAAGTACAAGCAGTTTATTTGAGAAGTGATCCCAGGTTGCAGAATGAAGGGAAAGGTAGCTAATATAGGAGGGAAAGTCTCTCCCAGTAGGGGTTCATAGTTGGCCATCACTATGCTTTCCTCAATCGTGAGGGAATGTCTGAGAAGGTGTCTCAGAACCTGACCGGGACAAGAGAGAATGGGATAGTTTTTCATTGGCTCCTATCCCCATTGGGCAAGGTTGCTCCCAAAAGGGTTGTATTTGCCAGTACTACAGGGTTTCATAAAATGTTCCACCTGCAGGTGTCACAGAAACCCCAGACAAAAAGCAAGTGATGTGCCTAGTGCAGGTCTGAGGTGAGGCACTGATGGGATGTACTGAGACTGCCTGAAGCCTGACCAGACCTGGTCACCACAGCAGCAGGTGGAATGAGATGGAAGACAGAGAAGCGCCCAAAACATTTTTAAGAAATTCCTTCTTCAACAACTTTCTTCATCAATTCATTTTTTATCCGTCTTCATACTGTTATTGATTTTCTTTCCCTAGCCAGAAAAAGAACAACAATCATGCACTTTTTTTTTTTCCAGTTTTTCTTCTCTCTTTCACACACCACAGTTAGCTCATAAAATTTTTTTGTTTTACATTTTTTACACCAATGTAACAAAAAGGTGGGAGGGAAGGGAGGCTGGCAGACAGTGGATTTTATGCCTATAAATTTGGGGACGGGAAGGAAGACAGGGCCCCCGAGTGAACAAAAACCAGACGGTCGCTATGGAAATGTGGAGAGAGCTGAGAGCGAGGTGTGGCGGAAGCAGGCTCGGAGCTGGAGGAGGGTGGCTATGGGGCTTTATTCTCAGGGAGAGATGGCACTGTGCGGTCAGTGATGCAGCTGTTGTGTGACCTGTGGGGAGGGAAGGGACGAGGGGAGGGAGCAGAAAACAAGTTTTCTAAGAAAGGACTCTAACGAGTGCACGGCGTCTGGTTAGCGTAAAGCAGAGGTTTAGCATTGCTGCTTTCTCTTCAAAGCCTCCACCAGGTCATTCTTCAGAGTTTCTTGTTTTGATTTGTCTGCAAAAGCCTGCACAGACCTCAGCCCGTTGACAATATCCTTTGTTTTTCCAAAGTAGTTCTCGTTCAATGTACTTCTGATTTTATTTTCCATGTCCTCTACCAGGCGCCCGATATTGGCTATGTGTGGGGAGCAGTCGCTCACAGTTTCATGTTTCTCCGTCTGTCTGGTGAGGCTGCCTCCGAGGTTCATGGTGCCAGAGCCGGATTTGTTGGTCTGCAGCCACAGCATCACCGTGGAGGTCAACTTGTAACGGGCGGTGCGGCCGCTGGATTTCTCCTGAACTTCCACCACGCGGATGGAATCCCAGCAGCCTTTGATCTTCTTTGATCCATCTCCAGCCTTCTTTATGAGGATCACTCCAGCAAAGCCATGATCCAGATCCCAGAGGTAGACAGATGAGAGGCCGCCTTCAAAATACAGGTCTCGGTACTGGTCAAAGGCATTGTTGGCTTCCACCTCCAGCTTTGGCAGCCGAGCTGAAGGCATGGCCCCATGCTCCAAGGGAGGGTCATACTTGTTGCTCCACGGTGACCTATAGGAGTCCCCATCTCTGTGGTAGTCACACAAAAGGTAATCCTTTCCCACAACCTTGTCTCTGGCAATTTTCAGTGGCTGGTCAACAGAAGACAGGAGATCCTGACAAATGGGACCTAATCAAACTCCACAGCTTCTGCACGGCAAAAGAAACAGTCATTAGAGTGAATCGGCAACCAACAGAATGGGAAAAAATTTTTGCAGTTTACCCATCTGACAAAGGGCTGATATCCAGAATTTACAAAGAACTAAAACAGATTTACAAGAAAAAAACTAACAAGCCCATTCAAAAGTGGGCAAAGGATATGAACAGACACTTTACAAAAGAAGACATACATGAGGCCATGTAAAATGGCCTCATCATCATGAAAAAAATGCTCATCATCACTGATTATCAGAGAAATGCAAATCAAAGCAACATTGAGATACCATCTCACGCCAGTTAGAATGGCGATCATTAAAAAATCTGGAGACAACAGATGCTGGAGAGGATGTGGAGAAATAGGAACACTTTTGCACTGTTGGTGGGAGTGTAAATTACTTTAACCATTGTGGAAGACAGTGTGTCGATTCCTCAAGGACCTAGAAATAGAAATTCCATTTGACCCAGCAATCCCATTACTGGGTATATATCCAAAGGATTACAAATCGTTCTACTATAAGGACACTTGCACACGAATGTTCATTGCAGCACTGTTTACAATAGCAAAGACCTGGAACCAACCCAAATGCCCATCGACGATAGACTGGATAGGGAAAATGTGGCACATAGACACCATGGAATATTATGCAGCCATCAAAAACGATGAGTTTGTGTCCTTTGTAGGGACATGGATGAACCTGGAAACCATCATTCTCAGCAAACTGACAGAAAAGCAGAAGATCAAACACCGCATGTTCTCACTCATAGGCAGGTGTTGAACAATGAGAACACCTGGACACAGGGAGAGGAGCACTACACACTAGGGATCTTGCTATGCTTCCCAGGCTTGTCTGAAACTCCTGGGCTGAAGTGATCCTCCTGCCTCAGCCTCCCAAGAAGCTAGGAATACAGGCAGAATATCTTTTAGACCGATGTGACTTTTTGGAGACCTAGAATCTGTTGGAACCAAAGGTCACTCTATGGTGAGGAAACAAATACCAATAAACATCACAATGACGAGTGGTACATGTTCATGTACATGTGTGCAAAGTGCTGTCAAATCACTAAAGAATGAACACCCAACACTGCCTAGGGCTGGATCAGAGGAGGTTTACCAGGAAAGTAACAGATGCAATTTTTCTTAAAGGATTTTTGCAGAAGAAAACCCAGGAAAAGAATGCTTTAAGCAGTGCATGATTGGAAGCGCCGGGCCCTGCTGCGGTGGGGAGAGCCACTGATGCTGGGACCGGGACCGCCGCTGCCACCATGAGTGATCAACAGCTGGACTATGCCTTGGACCTAATGAGGCGCCTGCCTCCACAGCAAATCGAGAAAAACCTCAGCTACCTGATTGACCTGGTCCCCAGTCTATGTGAGGATCTCCTGTCTTCTATAATCTTTATAAGTTGTTTCCCTTAGTTCATTGAGCTTACCTATGAAAGTTGCTTAAAAGACTTTGTTTTTTAAGTCTAACAAATTGACTCCCCAAAGGCTATTTTTACTGCCTAATTTTTTTCTTCTCTCATTGCATCATGCTTTCCAGTTTCTTCCTATAACTCATAGGTTTTTCCTTTTGTTGTTGAAAACTGAACATTTTTTATAATATATTATAGTAATTCTGGATATAGAGCTTCTCCTTCTGGGGCTTGTCATTTGCTCTCATCCCAGAAGGGCTCATTTTAGCTATCTCTTTCCCTAGGTCTCTCAGTTAAACTTCTAGCTGGCCAACTGCTTGGCTTGTTTCTGCAAATATTATGGACCCGGCAGCCTTCTCTTTATTGTTCACCACCCAGACCTTCATTGCTTTTGACAATATCCTTAGGCATGTACTTCCTTAGGGTCTGTTTCAATAATATCATTTCTCTTCAGTAGAACTGCAGATCTCTCTGTTCTTCCTGTCTGCCTCTTCTCCTAGGCTGAATCTCTGCATCACTGCACCAGAGCTGGGGTAAGGAAGAACAACATGCTTTACTCAGAGAGCACTTCTTTTTCATGAATGGGGTACTCAGGAGATGTCAGGCTTTAGTCTTCTGAGTTTACCTCTACTAGTATAGAACCTCCACCCTATGAGCTATCTGAGCAAGGATGATCAGGGACCAATATTCTCGGCCTGCTAAGCACAGATTTGAGCTTTTGCCCTATGAGTGGGAGCTGTGTTAGAGAAGGGAGCTCCATTCCTTTCAACTGGAGTGGAGCTATCTGGAATAGAGAGTCTGACATAACAAACTGTAAGTAAAAGGAATGAAAGCTACTTGTGGCCTGCTTCTCCAAAGGCGAATCTATAGCTCTAGTCACGGAATTTGAGGTAGAACGAGTTCTGTTTTTGTCTACATGAACCCAGTGTAAGTCTTCTGTTACACAGAGCTTAGAAATGGGGAGCAAAAAGGGCAGTAACAGTTCAAATGCTACCAACTTTCAGTTCTTATCAAGATTTAGTAAATTTTCTTGAATCAACGTTTTTCTATATGCTCGTATATCTTTAGGACAATTTCAATATTACATTAAATGATTGTGCTTTCTTTCTTTTATACTTTTAACCAATTAAAATGGCTGTTTGATTAGTGAGAGGGTACACCAGACTCCTCATACATACCACCTTACTGAAATCTTACTCTTACCGACTAAACCAAACGGGAACTCAGGTCCAATTTCAAGTTCTGTCATACCACATGTTCTAATTCTTTTTTTTTTACATAAAAAATACATAAACTTCATATCTGTGCTTCTTGATATCACTGCATCTTCCTGTTGTCAGTCACTATAAGGTAGTTAAGGAGATAGCTAGAAAAGCCATTTACTTCTTCAAAGATACTGAAAATATACTGTATAAGGCAGTGGTATCTGCTCTCCGAAAAGGAACCTCAAGTGAGTCATAGATTGATTGGAAATCAAACAGAACAACTTATTTGGAGTTTTAACTGTGTTCTATTATTTAATTCAGTAAGTTTTCTATTCAACATGAGTCCTCTTTTTCATCCACATATGCCCACCATAATCATTCCCATCTTACTAATTACTGGCTTTTAAGGGTCACTGTATCTAAGATCTATGGATTCATATTAAAACTGCTTGGTGACATTGTTTCCTTGACATTGAGATATGTGTTTATTGTTTCCAAAAAATTACTACATTTCTTTTTCCTCTGCTATCTAGGAAAACTATTTTTTTTTAAATGCAGCTTATAGGAAACATTGTTAGATGAATTCCAATAGAATCCACGTCTCCTGAAAAGATGATTTCCACTTAAATTCTCATTACTGGGTTTCCATGAGGGTTCAGTTTTATGTTGGGGGACTTTAAGAGCCTTGGAAACTATGGGACAAATATTCAAATTTCTAATTGTTTCCTGTGACCTACAATAGAGAATCACTGTACTATTAATAAATAACATTGAAATCCACATTTGAAGAAACACTTGCCATGTTGTGCTAAGAAAACTTGCTGCGTTTGTCTTAAATTTAATGCTAGGAAAATAAACACTATCATGCTTTTTACATGAATCTCATAGCCAGTTGCTTTAGAGTTTTTAAATATGATATATGTAAGTAAAATAAGTACTTAGACTTATATATGTAAGTAAAATAAGTACTTTTAGCCATTGGTGCTGTGATTAAAATTGTTAAGAAAATATACGTGTTTGAAGGTATAATATATGTGCATGTTAAGAAACTATGTTGAGTAGAGAAAATGAAAATGATTACAAATATTTAGTAAAACTCCAGTAGCAGCATGAAATTTACACAGTACTTTTAGTATTCATTGAATGTATACTTTTTAAATTTTCAATTCAATTGAAAGATGATTTGGGCTTGGAATCATCCAATATTAGATAATCCAATAATAATAATGAGAAGTGGGTTCACTTATTTTATTATCTGAAGTCTCTATGAAGTAGTAACAAGTGTAGAAATAGTACTATAGCAATGTCATAATGATCATATATGTGCAGCAAACATAATATTCAGGGATTTATCAGTCTGTTTTTTTTTACCTATCTGCTCTAGATCAAATTAATAATATCTTATACTGTTTCATATATGTCAAAAAATTTATAGTAGTCCAGAGAAGTATTATAACTTTGTACATGCTATTCTTTTGCCTAAAATGCCTTTTCTTCCTTCTGCAATTTCATGGTTCACAACAGATACAGATGTATCTCACACTCTTTACGAAGTCCACCTCTTCTCCAAAGGTAATTACCTCTTTCTCTAATTTACTTTGGCATTATGTATGCAACTTTGGCTATAAGATATTGTATTATGCTGTAATTTTTTATATTAAACTGTACTTCTTTACTTATGCATACTCATTGAACTTTACCTTTTAACTTCAAATTCCTATATGTTAGATGCTGCATTTCATTTTATAGCCCTAAATAACCTCAATGCCTGACACAATAAAAGTGCACATTGAATATTTGTGAAAACACTACTTTCTTTATACACTATATTTAAATTCTATTCATGCATCGTATCTGGTGAAAATAGTTTCTGGACTGATTTGAGTTAGTGTACCCTTTAACACTTACTGATTTTTTGCTGTTTGCATAAGGACTTCACAATTCCGCTTCAAATCGTTTCCATGGTAATGTTTTTAATTAATGCTGCTTATTTGAAGGCCAACTATAAATCTATCATGGAAAACTATAGATTACTCCTTCTCATCATCATTCTCGATTTTTTTTCTGTGAGTACATAAAAACTCCTTAATACTCTGCTCTCCCTCATGTTCCAGGTGGCCAGCATGCCAGGCATAATCACAACTTATGTTAAGTCTATTATAAACATATTTTAAAATCACCCACGACTATTGTTGCCTAGTTTGTATTTTACTGCTCATTATTTCAAAAATACTAAATACTCACTCCTTTGTTTACCCTTTCAATTTTATCCCTCAATATCTGAATTAAATTAAGCAATAAGGCATATGCATTTAAGTCACAATATATATTACCTTGGGATTGGACACCTTGGTTAATCATACTCTGTAACTATAAAGTGTGTAAGTGGGAACTGTGTGCGTATGAATGGACTGAATTGAGATACATGCTTTTCTTCATATAACTTTAGGTACTATTAGGGAAAACATAACAATAAACTGAAGCATTCACATGGTACATAAGCATCAACTTTCTTCCTTGCTCTCTATCAATCAAAATATAGGACAAATTGTTAAAAGCAGACTGTAAGAGAAGGTAAGTTTTAGATTACCTAGAGAAAAGGGCAAGTGCAATGAGCTTTAGACACAGCTGATATTTGAGATGGTTATGCATACAACCCTTTCTGCAAAGAGGGTGATAGAATGAATGTCTTCTCCAATTTATAGAGATAATATTTTTTCTTTAGATTATTTTATTGATACATTATTCTGAAGCAACAGCAAAAATCAGGAAAAACTGCATGTAATCTGGATGATATTTACTTTGCCCTTAAAGTACTCAGTGTTTTCAATATCATCAGATCATCCCCTGTACATAGCAGAATATATGCCTTATTATTTTCTGTATTTTCAGATTTGTGGCAGTTTTTTTGACATAATGCCTTACATGTAGTTGGCACCCAATAATATTTGCTGAAATAAACACACAAACTTAAAATATTGTGGAAGAGATACATTTTCTTTTGGCAACAATAGATAATAGGATTTAAATGCTGCTTCTCATCATAGTCCAGATTACTAAAGCGTGCTCCATGGGACACTCCATACCCATTCTTCAAAAAGGAAGTCACTGCACTCAAACTACAAAATTTCTGTATGTCTCTTACTTGTTTATAGTTTTTGGTCCAAAAATATCACCGAAATGCCCTAAAAAATGAAGAAACTACATAAACTGTTTAAGACTCTCCAAACATTATTTTGATTATTGAAAACAAATTTTCAAGGAATTCCTGTTAACAATCTACATGTATTCCGTAGCACTCAGTTTAAGAAATACTATCTAAATCATCCATTTTTTAAATAAAGGACTGTACTATTTAATGTAGGTCTATGCAATTTCGAAGAATCTAGAGAGGCCTGAAAAATTTCTGGCTCATAATTTGCAAAGCATAAGCTTCTGTTGTCAAAGCATTCTCTTTTCGGACTCCAAAAGTATCAAACATTCCTGGTTTGGCTGCCCGATGGTGGAAATCACACCACAGATTGCTGTGCTGCATTAAGTCAATTCTGTCTCTCTTCTCCTCCTGTAGTTAAGACTTGTTGGCTTTTTTCCACATTCTGCTCCCATTCACAGATGAGCATTAGAGAGAATTTGGAAATGGAAGGCCTTTATGTCTGCCATGAACAGGGTCAATTCAGTGTGGCAGCTGTGAGCTGGTGACATAGACTTATATTGACACAACCCACTTTTTGCTGCAGAATCACAAAGTGAAAGCACCCGGGGCTCTTCTGCCGTTTTCAGTAAGATACGAATTTTTCTCTTCCTTGTATTAAGCAGAGATCTGTCATCTTGACTTGTACACTAAATGGTCCATTCTGACTGCCTTGTTTGTGTCCAATCCCAGCCAGAATCCAGAAACATGTGTTAACATTCGGCATGTTTGGGGGCTAGTTGGAAGGGCCTGAGGCAAGACTCCCTGATGCCTGCTGGAGGCTAGTCAATAATCATTAGCCCTTCAAGTGGTAGATGCCCAACATAAACTGTATTTATTTATTTAAAAAAATCTTTAAGCCACAGGGAAAGGCATTTTAGAGAAAGCAATTTCCCAGCAGTTACTAGATTGTAATAAAGATAGTTATGAAGGAGTGGGAGGCTGACAGAGGAGGCGCTGTTCTCAATAGAAAGAATGTGAAACCATCGAAGTACATTAATTAGGCTCTGTAGAGCAATACCACCCAGAATCTTTGCAGTTGTTTTTTCATAGCCAGTATTCCAAAGATCATCATTTAGGCCAAAAAAGATCTCTTAGCAAAGTGGAATCACCGCTATGCACAATGCATCAAGCTTTTCGGGTGGTATGAAGCACTGCATTGGTTAAACCAGCAGGTTAGAAAGAACCTCTGACTTATCAGGGCTTTCATTCTGAAGGAGACAAACTGAGGATGTTGCAATTAATATAAGAATATACAGAAACACAAGAAGCTTTTAAAATATTGACTAAATCTAAGTCGAATAAGGTATTTTGCATGCAGCCCAAATTTTTCTTTATTTCAGTGGTGGAAGCAAAGAATGTCTATTGCATGAATAACTTATTAGATTAAAAATGAAGCATGTATTTGTTTATTTACTTCTTCTAAAATTCACATCTGTCTCCAAATTCTAATGCTCAAATCTATACTATACCCTTCAGAAGACAATGAAGTCTGTCAAGTGAGCTTTGGAGCACATGCACATTAATTCATTCACCATTTAACTAAAAAAAAAAAAAAATTCTTTTCAATTCCCATGGTTGAACCCATTTTTGTGCCTGTCAGAAACATATCTCTTAATGTAAAGTCTACCACTTCCAGCCAATAAAGACAATTAGCAGTGCAACTATTAATTTCCCAAAGAGTAGGTGAATATTTGGAACCTCAAATCTAAGTCCATTAGTCTCTTGTCTTTTATTTATATAATTTATTTATAATATTGGGTTCAATTTTGAACCCAAGGACATAAATTATCACACATTTCTTCCGGTCATTTTAAGGTTCTTACTCAGCTTACACTTCCACTTGAAGCTTTGCTTTAAAAAAAACATTCCCTTTGAAACTAAGTTTCCACTTGGACCTGGGTTGAGAAGTAAATAAGGCTTAGAAGACGAAATTTAAATATTCAGGAAAGTATGGAGGTTAAAAGTGCTCAGGATAGGGGCAGAGAAATTTAGAACTGCCACTGGGCCAAAGCCTAGATATAGTCAATTACCACCTGAAATACAGAGCCTGAGAGAAAAGTCATAATAAGTCCAAGCAGAGTTCACCCTGACCATTAATCCAATGGGCAAAAGGTTGAAAGAGAGATACCAAAAAAAAAAAAAAAAAAAGATGAAAATGAGAGTTACCTGACCAAAGCAATGGGACTTGAAAGAAAAGGAAATGGAAAGAAAACAAATGGGCTCGCTAAGACCTTGGAGCGACACGCACATGTTATTCTGTGGTGGCCCTAAATTATTAAGGATGCTAAACTAGTCAAAAATAAGCAAGGCTGTGTCAAAATAAAGGTAGCATTAAAGACATGGGAGGCACAAAACCTAGATGTAAATATTATTTTCAATCCACTGATTATTGCTTATGCTATTTGGTCAAATTGGTTAACATCTCTCAGGGTCTTCAGTTTTCTTATCTGGAAAATGGTGATAATACAGCTTAAGTCACTGACTATGATTGGATTAAATAAGGCAATGTACATATAGTGCAAAACAGTGGTTGGGCTAGGTATTCAGTAAATGGTTAGTGGGTGTTGGTAATATTATTAGTTTGATACTAATAATATCTTAGAAGAGCTTTTACTTCCTACAGATAGCTATGACAAAGTAAAAGGAAAATAATTATTCCAAGCCAGAGTAAAGTCAGAGGAAAACATAGCTTTGGATTTCATTTACTTGCATTTTCTTCTCTCTCTTTGGTTGTGAAAATGTGTAATGATAGTCAGAGCTAATGTTGCGTGAAGGCTAATATATATGGAAAGGCATAATAAGAGTCATCAGAAAGCACTATGTGCAGGTATATCAGGAAGAAGTGAAGACCTCCCCTTATTATCCTAAGGCCCTGATAATAAAATACAAAAGTATTCAGAGTCTACAAGCCCACAATATTTGAGGGTCACTTCAAAACAACCGCTTGTATATCTGAAAGACTGATGCTGGGAATCTTATGTCTAAATATGACATTTGATTAAAAAAATAATAATTGAGAAAATGTATTAAAACACTGTATGTCCTATTTGAGTTCTGTCAGCTTTAGCTCCCTCTGGGCAGATATTTCACTTTTCTTGGTTGGGATCACAGATTTAATATTCCAGGTCTTTTTTTTTTTAATCTATGTGTGTTTTAAAAGGTATTATACTCAGTCTTAAATTAGAGGTGCTAGTTTTCCTTATCCTAGCAGAATGGTTTGCATACAGTAAGTACTCAGTCAAGTTTAGTTAAATGAATTAATAAATGAATAAAATGAATGGGAGAGTTTGTAGATAGCAGGATCCAACTCTTACTCTTTTTTATAACACCCTTGAAGTTTTGCATAAGGAAAAAAGTGTAAAAAATCCTAATTTGAATTTCATGATAAGTAAATTGCTGCTGGTTTTTCTTTCTGGCAGTTTAATTTTATTTGATTTCACATTCCTATAATGAGGTTCCATATTTCTACCACTACATTTGAGTTTTTCCAAACATATTTGAATCTATCATGATTTTTTCCTTTTGTTGACAAATTTCAAATATATCCAGCAAGTGTAATTTAAAACTCTCTCTTTTTATAAACTATGACATAATTTTCAAACCAATTAATCTTTTCTTAAGTTTGAGTAAATGGCTCTTCTGGAATCCTAAAAGTTACTTTTTGTGTTGGTCGTTATAAACACACACACAACACATACACACATGTATACACACGTGCGTATACACACACACACACACACACACACACACACAAACACACGCGCAAGTACTGCCTGAACTATGGAGTAAGAAGTCATAACCTTAAGTCAACCTGGGCCAATTAGAGTGCTGATAATGTAGACGTGTTTTGTTGGTATACTCTCTCAAGGATTTTCCTAGGAAAGACTAAATTGCAGCACATTTATAATTTAGTAGTTTTTTTTTTTTGTTTTTTTTTTTTTTTTTTTTTATGGTAGGAACGGCCTTTATTGGCTGCAGCGGGATGTGGAAGAGGGGATACAGCGTCCGCAGACCTGAAATCAAATGAGACAGTGTGAGCACCCCCGTGAAGGAAACAGCTAGATCTCGGTTGCCCTGCTCCGAGATGCCGGTGTCTCGGCGCTTGAGGATAGAACCAGCGGATGGGAAGCCACCGGCACCGAAGACATGACGCCGAGGGGACCAGAGCCCTTTCCCTCTTCCTCCGTACATTACGGGGAGCGAGACCACAAACCCGGTCCCCGCCAAGAAAAGGAGGGTAATTTAGTAGTATTTTTACAGATTAGAATTGCTTTCCCCACATGTCAGAATGAAATTGCTAACAGAATAGAGAACAGCAATGTGGCTACTGAGAGAAACTTCTCTTATAGATACCATACAGATGCCCTGCTGGGGACAAACCCCAACTGAGAGCTACAGAATCAGTCTGGAAAACACACCCACCCAAAATTGTTTATGGAGGTCAGGATGTGCTAAAAGAAGAAACACTAAAAAAAAAAGATTTCACAAGCATATCAAAACGTAAAGCAATAGTTCCACTTAAACAGATGAGGAGCTTTCTTAGTTTGTGAGAGAAATTCCCAACCCTCTTATGCTAATTAAATTAAAATTTACCCAAGAGCAAGGAAATGCAGCGATAATGCAAGCAAATAGTGCCCAGAGACCCTTAAGAATATAAGCATGAAAAAAAAAAAAAAAAAAAGAATATAAGCATGATGACAGAGGTTGAGGGAAGGAGGCAATGAGTGCCTTCAAGGTAACAGAATAGGCGTGTTGTGGACAATAATCTGAAGCAGGTGTGTGTGATTAGAATTCTTCTTCAAACGGTGAAGGGCCAGCAGGCCTCTGTGGGGCTTTCAATATCCACAGGTAAAATAGAAGAGGTCTCCAGTTTTCCAAAGCCTGACGCAAGCTCACATATTCTGGCCTTTCCGGGGGGGTTATTATTCTATTATTTCTACTTGTTCCTGAATTTGATCCTTTTTTTTTTTTTTTTTTTTTTTTTTTTTTTTTTTTTTTTTTTTTTTTGCTCTGCCTCTTCTTACCACTTCAGTTCTTTCAATTCTACACCCAAGCAGTTTTTCTCACTATAAACCAGACCTGTGCCAGACAGACCCCCGGCTGAACACCACCCACTCCCTGGCTTAATGCTGTACTTCTTTCCTTCAGGGAATAACTAGATTGCTGTGTTAAAATAATACAGCAGAAAAGAACTACTTATTGGAATGTTAGCTATTCAGTGGCTGAGATTCTATCTTTACTTTTCACTTTTCTGTTCCTAAGTGAAACCCTCTTTGTGTGGATAGTTTTCTACCTTCCTTTGAGGTGGGCCCATCCCAAATTAAACAGCCAAATATTCTAAATGCCCCCTCCCCTCACCATGTTTACAGAGCCAAAATCAGGTAATTATTAAATTAGAATGAACAAAGGAGAATGTGCTGTTACTGTTATGTAAAGTTATCCAATCAATAAATAATCATTGATCTTATCTTGGTGGTGGTATACTGGCTTCTTCATCACAGCATCATGAAAGGACTTTTCTTCCTGACCCTCAGCAGGAAGCCAGAGTGTCATCATTGTGACTCACATTTGTAAACTGCCTTAGTATTTATGAGAACTTTCAAATAAACTATTATCTCATAAAAGATTAAGATTGAGTTGATTCCAGGAAGAATAGAACAATGTGTGCTTTAGTCTTTTTTTTCCCATGCTATTCTATAAAGAAAGGATTGGCAAGCACTTTCTGTAAAGAGTCAAATAAGCAGGCCATGCACACTGTTTCAAATACTTAACTCTACTAATGTAGGGTGGAAGTAGCCACAGACAATACAAAAGCAAGTGAGAGTGACTACACTCCAATAAAATTTTACAAAAACAAGTGGAAGGCAGTTTTGGTCTGTGGTCTGTTGTTTGCAGATCTTTGCTATAAACGGTTTGTTTAGGAATCCCCAAATAGATCTTCACCTTTTTCATCCCTTTGTACTTGCACATGGCTGTTACTCAGCATATATGTCTCTGTACAAATTAGATAAAAGGAAATGTGGGCCAGGCACAGTGGCTCAGGGCTATAATCCCAGTGCTTTGGAAGGCCGAGGCAGGTGGATGAATGGAGCTTAGAGTTCGAGACCAGCTTGAACAACATGGTGAGACCCAATCTGTGGGAAAAAAAAAAAGGGAAAAAAAAAAAAAAAAAAAAAAAAAAAAAAAAACACAAGAATTAGCCATGCATTGTGGCTTATGCCTGTAGTCCCAGCTACTTGAGAGGCTGAGGTTGGAGGATTACTTGAGCCCAGGAGGCAGAGGTTGCAGTGCGAAAAGATCGCATCACTGCACTCCAGCCTGTGAGACAGAGGAAGTCCCTGTCTCAAAAGAAAGAAAGAGCCAGGCGCGGTGGCTCAAGCCTGTAATCCCAGCACTTTGGGAGGCCGAGGTGGGTGGATCACGAGGTAAAGAGATCGAGACCATCCTGGTCAACATGGTGAAACCCCGTCTCTACTAAAAATACAAAACAGCTGGGCATGGTGGCGTGTGCCTGTAATCTCAGCTACTCAGGAGGTTGAGGCAGGAGAATTGCCTGAACCCAGGAGGCAGAGGTTGCGGTGAGCGGAGATTGTGCCATTGCACTCCAGCCTGGGTAACAAGAGTGAAACTGTCTCAAAAAAAGAAAACAAAAACAAAAAAAAAAAAAAAGAAAGAAAGAAAGAAAGAAAGAAAAAGAAAAAATGAAATGTGTGCCTTCTCTGAGACAACAAAGTAGAGAAAGATCAGCCCTTCATTAGAATACATTGTTTAAAGTACTTCATGTGGGTAAATGAGTTAGAAAATAATGCTGCCTCTATGCTGAAGGAGACCTAGGAGTGTGGTTTAGTTGCAACGTTTTGTTAGTGCTAAGAGACAGATCCCAGGCTTAATTTCAACTCCCAAGGGCCTCCTTTGCAGGTGGCAAAAAGCAGAGCCATGTGAGGCAACCATGTCATAGAGTATGCCCTTCCTCCAATCTGTAATAAAGAACCTCCTTTTCTACTTTGGCTATTAAATTTTATCAATTCATAATTCACCTTTAATCACACTCTCTCGTTAAAAGAAAAATGCCCTCCCCCAGACCCCAGCCCATAGTCATTTTTCCTACCTCAAAATACCTATTGCTTTATTTTATTTATGCTATACTTTGCAGCATGGTTAGCATACTATATTTGCTGTATTCTTATATTCTGCATTGTATACATATTACTTTTGTGTGTGTGCCTCATCTTCAGTCAAAATTCTGTAAATGTCCATCTTGGGCAGGAATAAATCCCTAGAGTATGGAAAGACCTGATAGTTATGTCAATATTCTATAACAGACATCATCAGACTGTTGGAAGTACTCATTCAGGTACGTTTTCACACTGTAGAAAAATTTTGTTTTGGCTCACAGTAACTTCATCATATTGGGTCTCAGAATTCTTCTGTTCTAAAAAGTCCTATATGTGAAGAAGCAGTTCAGTAAACATCCAGTCAGCTTCCAATGACCTATTACTTGACTGTTTGGTTTGAAACTGTAAGTCTTGAAGGTTTATATGGTTTAGCTTTATGTCCCCACCCAAATGTCATGTCAAATTGTAATTCCCAATGTTGTGGGAGGGACTTTGGTGGGAGATGATTGGATTATGGAGGTGGATTTCTCCTTTGCTGTTCTCATGATAGTGCGTGAGTTCTCATGAGATCTGGTGGTTTAAAAGTGTGTAGCACATCCCCCTTATCCCCACTTTGCACTCTCTCTCTCTCTCTCTCTCTTTCTCTCTCTCTCTTTGCCAGGGTAAGACATACTGGCTTCCTCTTCACCTTCTGCCATGATCGTAAGTTTCCTGAGGCCAGTCATACTTCCTGTACAGCCTGTGGAACCGTGAGTCAATTAAACCTCTTGTCTTGATGAATTACCCAGGCTCAGGTAATTCCTTAGAAGAATGTGAGAATAGAGTAATACAAAGGTCAATCATTTGTTTTACTATCTCTTGAGATATTAGGCAAAAGACACCAAAAATGTAAACTTTAACCAACACAGAAAATGTCCTTGTTACACATCTTGTTTTTTAAGAGTATACATTTGGGAATGAGATTTCTCATGTAAGAACATGTTGCATTTGACAATTATTTCATAATGGGCTGAGATAGGAGTCAAATAAATATGGTGTGAGTATAACTTAGTGTTAATAGATTTTATTTACAAACTAAAATGACTACAATCAGGCGAGAGTGATCTAAGCAGGACATACAGAGCAAAAATTACTCCTAATATTTATGAAGAAAGAATATTTTCTTAATTTAATAGAGAAATAACATTCTAATACTAAGAAATCAGTTCACTACATGATAAATGGTGACTGTTTCAAGAAAAAAAATAGTATTTCCAAAGGCAATTCAAGAATCTGCCTAGATAAACAAAGTTACAAATATATTCAAGACAAAAATAATAAACTTTAAAAACATCTTTTCACAACTTTTAATTAGAGCAGAATAAAACTTGGCAGCTTCATCTGAGATACTTCAGATGAAGAGGTGAATGCCCTAGGATGAATCCAGTCCCCAGATTGACAGGTCAGAGAGTGCTTTTACTTAATTAAACCCATGGAGGAAAGTTCTCTTTGGGTTTATGTAAGGACTATTGAGAAGGAAAATAAAAGAAGGATAAGAATGTCTTCCCTCATTGTGCTCATGTGAAGGGCTGCTTAAGATCCATGGCACGCAAGTTATCCCCACTTCCCCACCCCCAGGCATATACTCCTACTGGGGGCCAGATCTGGAGAGAATCTGGCAGAAGGCGTTGCTTGAGTCTGTTTTTGTTACCCTGATAATTTGCTTTTTTTGCAATACTTGTAAAGCATCAGTTTTAGGTTTGGAAGCACACAGCCCACCCACTGAGGCAAAGTGTTCTTTTCTTGACTAAGCATATGCCTGCTTCTTGGAAAGAATGTGAGAAGAGGTGAAAAAGACTCCACACTTGGGGAAATAAAGAATTCTTTAATGTTGAAAGACAAAATTGAGGCTTTTGAATACTAAAGTTAAAATTACATCTACGTGACACCCAAAAATGGATGTTACATCGTTATTTCATTTTTCTATTGATTCTGTTCATTCATTCATTCCTGCATGCATACAACTAATTTCGCTATCGACCTAGTATATATTACATATGAGATACACTTGGTTTTTGGTGATTAAATTGTGAGGAG